GTCATCAGCCTGGCATTTAGAAATGCTCTCTAGAAACTGGCTCTCATCTGGCTTTCCAGTATTATCTCATATTACTTCCCCTCTGACACTCTTCATTCTATTCCATCAAACTGGCTTCTTAGCTGTTCTCAGTAAATAGCAGCCCATGCTTTTATACAGGTGGTCTGTCATGCCTGGATTGCACTCTTTCCTCACTTCTCTCTCTCTTGGAATCCTTAGCTTCCTTAAAGACACAGCTCAGGTGCTACCTTTTACATCAGGTTTTTCCTGATTCTCACTGTTAATCACTTTGTGTAAAATATACACACATGCATATATGTATACACACATACACACAGGTACATGAATAAATATACTGTGTATATACACATGCACAATGTACACATGTGTATGTGCATATATAGGTATGTACATGCATATGTGTGTATTTTATTTATACACACTCATAGTATTTACTTATCTGTGTTCATGTTGCATCCCCCAGTAAAGGGTAAGCTCCCTGAGGGGAGGGAATTTTTCATTCCTTACTGTGTCCCCAGCACATAGTACCTTGCCTGGCACATGGTGGGTGCTTAATAAATGTTGCTTGAATTTTGGAATGTGTTGAATTGCAAAGAACTGCCTCCACTGATGCAGACTGGCAGCTAGTCAGACTTGCCTGGGGCATTGAAAGTTTAAGTATTTGTCAAATACAGGTCTTGGACCCAGGTCTTCTTGACTCAAAGGCCAGCGCTCTATCCACCACTTTATGCTGACTCTTCCTTACTTCTTGGCAGTTCATTAAAATGAAGGTTAACCACAATAGCTAGGGTTCACCAAAGGAAAATTGCTTGAATCAGTGATGGCTTTAATCATATATTTATTCATTTAACAAATAATTACTGTGAACCTACTATATGCAAGGTACTATATTATATATTGAAAGTACTAGAAGATAGGAGGAGATTTTTTAAGAGCCTCCATCCTCAAAGAGCTTACAGTATAGTAATCTGACACATATTTATTATTACCTTTAGAGGAATATTTACCTTGAAACCACACTTTGATAGAAATAACTCTTTGTTTTTTCTAATATTTGTTTCCAGACCTTGACAAAGCTCAAAAATCAAGAGAAAAAAACAATAAAGGTCAGTTCACATTTTTGTTTTTTTACACTTCAAATATTTCTGTAAAAATATATCCTTCTATTTGAAATTTGGAGGAGCTCATCTACTACTGTTCCACTAAAATTGTTCAGTAAAATTAGTCTTCAGCCTGCCATTTCTGATGGTTAGTGATTAGTAATGCAAAGTGCTGACTGTACAGAGACAGAACATAACCCCAGCCTTCTCTTCAAGGGACTTTAAACAGCTAGGAGAGGAGCTAAGACCTGTGGCAGTCCTTTTGGGTCTGACTCTGTCATCTGATACATTCACTTTCCCTCCCAGTTTAATGTCATCAGAAAATTTGACAAAAATGCCTTCATTTAAGTCATTGACAAAAATGCAGAACAGTATAATCAAGGACAGATCAGCAAAATACTTCCCTCCAAGCTGACATTGACCATTCAGAATTCCTCTTTGGATTCAGTTTTATTTTACATTGCTCCAACCAATGCTGAATGCACCTAATTGTCCTATCATCTAGCTCATAGTCTGTCCATAAAGATAGCATGAAACACTTTGTGAAACATAGGTGCACCATGTGTATAACAGGAGCAGCTGGGTAGCACAGTGGCCAGAGTCCCAGGCCTGGAGTCAGAAAGACCCATATTCCTGAGTTCAAACCTGGCCTCAGACTACCAATGTGACCCTAGGCAAATCACCTAACCCTGCTTGCCTCAGTTTCCTCTTCTGTAAAATAAGCTGGAGAAGGAAATGGCAAACCACTCTAGTATCTTTGCCAAGAAAAACCCAAATGAGGTCACAAAGAGTCGGATACAACTGAAAGCAACTGAACAACAACAGCATATCTATAACATTCTCTTTTTCTGCTGGTCTAGTTACTTTGGCAGAGAAGAAAATTATATTTAATAAAAGGTATTTGTGATGAAGTCATACTGGTTTTTAGTCATCACTGCTTTTCTTTCTAAATGCTTACCTACCAACGCTTTAATAATGTATTATAGAATTTTGCCAAGAATCAAAAGTCAAGACCAGTGGACTAGATCTTCCTGATTCTACCTTCTTCCAATTAAAAAATAAGAATAATATTGGCCCTTCTTTAGTCCTACAGCATCTCTCACATTCTCAGAGGTCTTTTGGAAGTCACTGACATCAGCTCAGCATCTACGTCTGGCAGTTTTTTTCAGTGGTGTCTACCTGGTATGTGAATAGAACTGTGGACTTGGAGTCAGGAAGACCTGCCTTCAAATCTAGTCTTAGACACTTACCAGCTATGGGACCTGGGCAAGTCGCTTAACCCTTGTAAGTCTCAATTTTTTCATCTGTAAAATGAGGACAAAAAAAAAAGGAAAATGGCCTTTGCAATGCTCTGGTCCTGGATGGGGTCCTGGATGGTACTCAGTGGAAACAGAAATAGCCAAGCTATGGTTTTCTCTGATAATTCCATGACTCGGGCAACGATCAATATGATCCCCCCACATGTGAGAAGGTTATGGGGCAAGGAGACTTGCCATTCCAGGCATAGAGGTTCAGTGATAGCAATGGGTAGAGCAGGTGGAGGGGGGGAAAGAGGGATAGGGAGGGGGGAGGGGAAGAGAGAGAGAAGAGGTGGAGAGCACGGTGGTTTTTGATGTTAGGTGCAGCTCTCTCTTTCCTGAGTCCTTCTCGAGGAGGAAGGCAGGGGGTTGCAGTGTTCTCAACATTCAGAAGCCAGCGTTCAGAGACCAAGGGCAAAGTAGGTTCCTTCTCTTTATCCTGCTCCTTTTGAAGAAAGCCAGACTTCCTGAGCCAAATGAGTTCTGTCTTCTCTCCCCGGTCCAAAATCTTTATCCCATCCATGATGAGTAGTTGTCCTACCCCTAATTTGATCCTTTTCTTGCCTAAAATATCTAGGGGGGAAAGGCTCCTTCTTCTTGTCCTGAGCAATTGTCACCAGCCTCACTCATTCTGAGTGTAAATATGCCTGACTGTATCTTTCTTTGGTATTCCACTTCTGCTCCCTCCCCTGCTTCCTATATATTAACTTAAGTTAGTTAATGAGTTCCTTGTGCAGTCACATCAATCTCTCTAGACAGCTCCTCCCTTTATTCCTCATGAGAATTAATGTTGTTGATCTCTTTAGGATTTCATTCTTGAGAGCTTCTGAATGCTTTAGGGCAGATCTGTCCTGTAGAATTTTAGCCCACAGGGTTCTCCCTTTCTTTGAACACCAAGATCTACTTTCCTAATATCTAAAGTCCTTATCAGTCAATGCCCAAATTTCTTCTCCATATCTCATAACTCATCATTCCTGTATTTTTTTTTAAAGTCAAGAGCCTCTATTTTAAGCCATGGTCTAGCAAACTAAATCCTTTACTCATATACAATTTTAATGAATTGTTAATTTCAGAAATTTGCTTTTTTCCTCCTCTATAATCCCATATTCATTTGCTAGAAGTGATGTTTTAAAACCTTCAGTTTCTTACCCAGGACCCTAAAATTCCTAATTATCTTGTATTTTGTCTGGGTTCCTTGTTTTGGTACTTTTCCTTCTGACATGAATCAATAGAAACAGGTAATGATTGTCAGGTTTGATAAGTCTCTTTGTCATGTCCTGGATATGTGCCCCAGAATGACAAGGTTTCTTTAGGGTTTGTCTGGTGGACAAATGGCTGCTTTTGTATGACTGGGTGCTGCTTTCTCTCTTCTTCCTCAGACCCGTACTAGATGATCTCCTTCCTGGCAGGTTCTACCTGTGGATTGACCTCATTAATGGGGCACAAGAAACTGCTGCCTCCTCAAAGTGTTCAGCTCCCCATATTTGGGGAGTCGCCCTTTCTATTACTTGAGTAGGATTTACAACTTCAAGTCAGAAGGACCCAAGATCAAATCCTGCCTCAGATGCTATGTGACCTTTCTTAACCTCTCTCAACCTCAATTTTCTCATCTATAAAATGAGAATAATAACAGCAGTTCTAAGGTTTGTTGTATCAAATGATATTTCACACACATATATTTAAGGTTTATAAAATACACACTCTCTCTGGATACATACATATATATGTGTGTGTGTGTATATATGTACATATGTATATATATATATATATATGTACATATGTATATATATATATATATATACACACACATACACACATACATATATACACACACATTTCTCTATATAGGGGTGTGTGTATATATGTACACACACATATATGTATGTATGTATATGTAGTGACCCTTCTTCCCTTCCTTTTCTTCTTCCACACTTCAGCCTATATCAGAGGAAGGCAACCAGGATAAGGAAGGAGCTGGAGGGGGTTGGTTGAAGGAACAATATTGAACTTGGGAGAAGAAAAATTTTAGGGCAATATGAGTATTGTCCCCAAGTATTGGGAGGAAGACTAGACTTGTCCTCCTTGGCCCCAAAAAGCAGAATCAGGAGCAATGGGGAGGTGGGGGCGATGATGATGAGAGGCATCATAGATCTAGGTCTAGAAAGGACCTCTGAAGGTATCTAAGTCCAACCCTATCATTTTCCAGTTGAGGAAACTAAGAACTAGGGAGATTAAGTAAGTTGCCCAAGGTCACATAAGTAGTAAGGGTCAGAGGTGGGATTGGACTTAATGTAAAATAAAACTTGAGCGATCTAAAGGAAAGACTGGGCAGCTTTGGGAGGTAGTAATTTCCCATCACTAGAATTCTTTAAATAGAGATTGGATAGGGGCAGCTAATAGAGTACCGGCCCTGAAGTCCGGAAGACCTGAGTTCAAATCCGGCCTCAGACCAAACACTTGACACTCACTAGCTGTGTAACCCTGGGCAAGTCACTTAACCCCAATTGCCAATAGATAGATAGATAGATAGATAGATAGATAGATAGATAGATAGATAGATAGAGATTGGATAACCACTTACTAAATTAGAGGAATTCCTACTCAGGTATGGATTGGACCACATATCCTCTGAGCTTCTTTCCCAAGGGCTGAAGTTCCTTGAAAGTATAAATTAGTACATATGTATTATTACTATTGTGCTTTTTTACATTATTCTCCAACCATCTTGTGTGTGCTTCATCATGCATCCCATAGGCAGGTCTTCCATTTCTTTTTTCATTCTTCTTCCCCAAAGCCCAGATGTGCACAGGAGAGAACCCACAGAAGTGACTTGGTGCAGACTGAGTCCTAAGAAAGTCCTTGTTAGGGCCTAAGTAATCTTTCATCTGCTCTGTTTCCTGTCACACCCTCACTCTCTCTAGGATAAATAATACCAGTTCATTTTGCCCTTCTAGGTGGCACAGTGGATATAGTACTGTGCCTAGAATCAGGAAGACCTGAATTCAAATCCAGCCTTAGACTGGGTGAACCTGAACAAATCGTTAACCTCTTTTCATCTCAGTTTCTTCATCTGTAAAATGAGGTTAATAATAGCATCTATCTTCCAGCGTTGTTTTAAAGGTCAAATGAGATAATAATTGTAAAGTGCTTAGCACAGGGCCTAGCACATAAGAAATAATAAATGCTTATTTCCTTCCTTCTTTCCTTCCTTTCCCACAGGCCAGATTTGAGGGAGGAGACCTTGACCCAAAGTGTTTCAGAAATGCTAGATTGAGGAACTGAGGGTAGAATGATGTCCTTAGAAAATGTGGGAATATTGGAATATGAACACCTCATTCTAGAGTCTTCTGAGGCTTCCAAGGCTTCCCCTCACTGGAGGTCTTCAAGGGAAGGGTAGATTTCTATGTGCCAGGAATAAGTAGTCACAGATTTCTGGACAGCAGTGGGGCACACAGGGTACAAGGTACAGCAAGGGTAGCTGGTGAAAATATTGCTAGGATGAAATAGGAGAACATGGCAAGGGCTGCCTATTTATATAGTAGTCCATGTGAGCCACTCACCAAGGACTGTGGGGTCCCAGGGTAAGAATTGTGGATCTGAAGGGGTGAATTCCTCCAGGGCATGGTCCTTGGTCCAAAAGATCACCAGCAGGGAGGCTGGAAAGAAGCTTGCTGTGGCATAAGGTCAGCAGATGTAGGCTGCATCTGATGAAAATCTTCTTATGAATATTAACTTCCCCAAAGAGGCATGGCCTGCCTTAGGAAAAATGTTTTCCCCTAATTAAAAGTCTTCAAGAAATCACATCACTATAGTGGAACTGCAGTCCCTGGCCACAGAGAAGACTCCTGACCATGGGTCTGGCTTGGCTGAGTTCCTAGAAGTGTTGGTGTTTCTGCCCCAAAAATAAACAAACCTCCCCCAAGACGCAATGTCTGTTATTAAATGCTTTGGAAGTACAACAGTGAGTAACCTCATCTGGGCAATGGCAAAAGCAGACACAGATTCTAAGAAGCAATGTGGAAGCCCCACCCTCTGCGCTTGAGCAGAAATATCCCTAAAGCAGAGAAGGGTGGTATTTTTAGACAACCACATTTCTTTGGAAGTGTCCCTTAAAGACACACAACTCCCTTTGGTCTAACTCTATTTGAATTTAACCAAGCAATCTGTCAGTCTCTAATTGAGTCTCATGAGTGCTCTTACTCACTAGAGTAAGAGTTCAGTCTGGGTTCTCCAGTCAAGTATATAATTATGAAGATGTGGACACAATACTGATGGAAGTGAAGAGACCTAAATTCTGATCTATCTGAGCTCTGCCCAAAGGTAGCCATGTGGCCTTAGAAAAATCATTCCACCTTCATGGGCCCCAATTTCCTTCTCTTTAAAAGGAAGGGGTGTACTATGTATTTTCTAAGATGATTTGATGCTCTGTTGTACTAAGGTCCCTTTTAGCACTAACCTCCTAGTCCTTCATAGGATTTTCAAGCTGAAAGGGACATTGGAAATCATCTTTGATTTTTGTCCTTTGCATATGAAGAAACTGAGGCCAAGGAGTTAACAGCAAAGGCATCTCTGCCCCCCAAACATCCTTGGGTCTTCCCATCCCAGCACAGAATTTCACTCTTTTGAATCACATTCAGGTTAATGAAATCAGACATCATAAGAGTCACAGAATCTGATTCTTAAGAGCTGAGAGAGATACCTCAGAGGGCACTAGTCCAACGTATCCTCCTTTTAAAAATATTTATTTTTTTAACATTCTTTTAAAGAAAATTTTGAGTTCCAAATTCTTTCCCTCTTTTTCCTCCCCTACCCATTATGAAACCAAGCAATATGATTTCAATTATACATGTGAAATCATGCAAAACATATTTCCAAATTAGCCATGTTACAAAAAAGCAAGAAACATAAAGTGGAAAAAAAGTTTGCCTGAATCTGCACTCAGAGTTGTTCATCGATTCTCTCTCTGGAGGTGGATAGCATTTTTCATCATGGGTCCTTTGGAACTGTCTTCATCGGAGTAGCTAAGTCTTTCACATTTGATCATCATTACAATATAGCTGTTATGGTACACAGCATTTTCCTGACTGTGCTCACTTCACTTTGTATCAGTTCATGTAAGTCTTCACAGGTTTTCTGAAACCATTCTGCTCATCGTTTCTTATAGAACAGTAATATTCTACCACAATTCTATACCACAATTTATTTAGCCATTCTCCAATTGATGGGAATTATCTCAGTTTACAATCTTTTGCCACCACAAAAAGAACTATTATAAATATTTTTGTGCACATGGATCTTGTTCCTTTTTCCTTGATCTCTTTAGGGTATAGACCTAGTAATAGTATTGCTGGGTCATAGAGTATGCATAGTTTGATAGCCTTTTGAGCATAGTTCCAAATAGTTCCAAATAGTTCTCTAGAATAGTTGGATCAATTCACAACTCCATCGTATTTTTCCACATCCCCTCCAGCATTTGTAATTTTCTTTTTCTGTCATGTTAGCCAACCTGATAGGTATGAAGTGGTACCTCAGAGTAGTTTTTTTTGTTTGTTTAAATTTTTATTTTTACGTAGGGAAAAATCAAATATACATTTAACCCAATTTGGTTGCAAGTTCTTTAGCTTTTGCCTTTTCCAGCTTGGCAATAAGCCATTGATTTTGGATCCAGAACATTGCCACCCCAGTGACGATGGATCTTATCATATTCGTTGTTGTAATTGGTTTTGATGGCTTCTACCAGCTTAGCCAGGGCTCCTTTATCTTTAGGGTTAACCTGTGTGAAGGCAATGCTTGTGCACATCTTTCTGTGAACTAAGCGACCCAGTGTGGCTTTACCTTTGACAATGCAGTAAGGAACCCCCATTTTTTGGCACGAGGCAGGTAGGAAGACTGCTAGCTCAATGGGGTCCCCATCGTGTGCAATCACCACCAATTGTGCTTTCTTGTTTTCTACCAGGGCAGTAACAGTGTTACCGCGTGCTCTGAGGACAGGTGGTCTTTTAGTGGGGACATCTCCTTTGCCTGCAGCTTTTTGTTCAGCCCGAGCCAGCAGCCTTTGCTTCTTATCTTGCTTTGTCTCAGGTCTGTACTTATGAGCCAGTTTAAGCAATTGAGTAGCTGTCTGACAATCCAAAGCCTAGGTGAACTGATTAATTGCTGGTGGCACTTTCAAACGCTTATAAAGGATAGACCTTTGACGCTGCAGTCTGATGTACCAAGGCCATTTGACAAATTGAGTAAGGTCCTTTTTGGACTGGATGTACTGACCAATGCCAAAGTTTTTGGGCCGCTTCTCTCTTCTTGGCCTTCTGCTTCTTTACTACAAGCAGGGGCCTGAGCCACCTTCTTCCCCTTGGCCTTCTTCCTCTCTGGCATCTTGGCCGGCTGAATGAGAAAGCAGAGTAGTTTTAATTTTCATTTATCTAATCAGTAGTGATTTAGAGCATTTTTATGTGACTATTGATAGCTTTGATTTTTTTGTTCTGAAAACTACCTGTTCGTTTCCTTTGACCATTTATAATAAAACCTATCTTTCTTTAAGAATACTCTCTCTAACATCCATGACGAGTGGTCATCCAGCCTTCAGTGGAAGATCTCTAATCGGGGTGGAGGAGGATAAATACTAATCCCTGAGGTGGCCATTCCACTCTTGGATAACTCTTTTTTTAGAAAGATTTTCCTTATATCAAACCTAAATATGACTTGGTTAGTGTATCAGAAAGAGCCTGTACTTGGAATCAGAAGACTCAAGTTCTGATTATATTATATACAAAAATAAACACAAAATAATTTTTAGGGGGAAAGGTATCAGCAACTAGGGGGTGGTAAAGGAGGGTCTCATGCAATAGGAGGGTGCTTGACCTCAGTTTAGAAAGAAACCAGAGGTTCTAAGAGGCAGAAGTCAGGACAGAAAGTAATCCAGAAGTGAGAGATAGCCCCTATGCAAAGGCACAAAGATGGGAGATATCACATGTGAGGAGAAGCAAGAAGACCAATATGGCCTGACCAAAGTGTACATAAAGGGGTGTGATGTGTAGCAGTCTTGGAAAGGTAGGTTACAGCCAAATTATGAAGGGCTTTAAATGCCAAACATAGAAATTTTGTACTGGGTCCTAGTGGTGGTAGAGCACTACTGTAGTTTATTGACCAGGGGAATCATGTGGTCACACCAATGTTTTACAAATATTACTGTGGCAGCTGTGTAGACAGGGGACTTGGGACAAGGACCTGGGATAAGCAGGCTATGACAGTAGTCCAAACAAGAAGTTGTGAAGGTCTGAACTAATAATGTAGTAGATTTTGTGAGAGGAGAAAAGGGAATGGAAGTGAAAGATGCAGAAGTAAAAATTGACAAGACTTGGCATCCAGATGCATATCTGGTGAATAAGAATATGGAACTGAGCATCACTCAAGGTTACCTGAGCAACTGAAAAGATGGCAATGTCCTCAACAGATATAGGAAAATTCCGAAGATGGGTATGAGAGGGGGAGAGGATAATGAGTTCCATTTTAGACATGTTCAGTTTGAGATGCTTACAGGACACCCAGTTGAAAATGTCTGATAAGCCATTACCCTAGCTCGGGAGAGAGACTGGAGCTGGCTATGTAGATTTGAGAGTTGTCTATATAGGAATGATAACTGAACCTACATGAGCTGATTAAGGCACCAAGAGAGTCGAGAGACTGAGGGAGGCAGGACAGACCCTTGGGGTGTACACACAGTTAAGGATCAGGGTATAAAAGGATGATGCTAGAAAGGTGGTAGAGAAGGAGCTGTAAGACAGATGGGAGAAGAACTGAAAGAGTAGTGTAATGAAAACTCAACCAGAACACAACATCCAGGATGACAACATGGCCAAATGTGATGATATGTGTAAAGTGTCATGTGTTAGAGCATACCTCTCTGCAGCATTTGGTAATAACCATGTTCTAAAGCTCCTTTCAGCTCGAAGGTCCATTATTCTATGTTCTACGATCCATTTACCACTGATGCCCTATATCCTTTCTATTCTAGCTCTTACATTCTATTTCTACTGTCCCTTTAAGATTTCATCCATCTCTGACATTCTGTATTCTAAAGTCTCTCCCTGCTCTGATATTCTGGGTTCTAAGGTTCCTCTCAGCTCTGATGTTCAGGGTTCTAAGATTCCTCTCATGTCTGATGTTCTGCATTCTAAGGTCCCTTCTAGTTCTGACATTCTATGTTCTGAGGTCTCTCCCTACTCTGATATTCTTTGCTCTAAGGCCCCTCTCAGCTGTGATATTTTAGGTTCTAAGGTTCCACTCAGCTCTGATATTCTCTATTATAAGCGCTCTTTCACCTCTGACATTCTATGTTCTAAGGTTTCACCTATCTCTGATATTCTAAGGGCTTTTCCTGCTGTGACACTCTGCCTTTAACACTGTGTGATTTTATTACTTTGTGATGACCTTGGAGGTGGTGGGAAACACTTTGTTTTGCAGTTGGTGAGGGATATAGTCAAGACTTTTCTTTGGCTGTTTCCCTTTAAGCATGTCCCTAGCTGGGGTCCCTCTACTGGGACTCAGCTTCCCTATTCTGTCAGACTGGTTC